GGGTTTTTCTGCTTGAAAAAACCCCACCTTCTTCCTCTCTGGTCTAAGTTGAGAAGAGAAACATAGCTTTCTCCTTTCTAAATAAGCCCCTCTTTACCGCCCTCTCCTGATCTATAGGACATCTCCTGCCCTCCCCATCCAGCTTGGCCGCACAGGCTGAGGGTAAGAGAATGACGATAATCCAGGGACTGGAAACTAAGTCCTGCAATACAAAGCTGAGAGAGCTGGCCATGTTTAGCCTCGAGAAGGGAAGACTGTGGGGGGATATAACAGCACCCCACAAGTACCTCAGAGGCTGTCACAGAAAGAAAGGAAAAGGCCCCTTCTCACTCATCCCCAAGTACAGGACATGGAACAATGAACTTGAACTGCAGCACACCAGATTCAGGCTGGACATCAGGAAAAGCTTCCTCACAGTCAGAGCAATACGACAGTGGAACCAGTTGCCTAGAGGTGGTGGGCTCTCCCACACTAGAGCTATTCAAGGAGAAACTGGACAGCCATCTGAGCAGGATGGTGTGGCTTGGTGTCCTGCAACAGCAGGGGGTCGGACCTGATGTCCTTCCTGGCCCATTCTGAGCGTACTATTTATGAATCTATGAAAAGCAAGTTAGGTAAGAAGCCTTAACCGCGACAATCACCTCTGAGAGTGTGCAGAAACCTCGACACCACATACACAGCATGCACGATCAGGAGCAACGACATATAACCACACTGGGACCCCTAACTTTGAAACAAAGTCCTAAGAGCCCGCCACCAACAAACATACTCACAAAGATGATGCTCTTCAACAGCTACGCCGCTCAGTCCCGCCGCCGTTTGAAATAAGAAAAGGCGTCTCCGCCCACCGCGACACAGCCGGGAGGAGCGAGTCGAGGGGAAGATCTGGTGCGCAGGCGCCAAGCAGCCACTTCGCCGGGCTTCAAATAATCTTCCGCCAGGCGCTTCGGCGCTTGCGCACCGATGAAAACGAAGGCGATGCCCGTAGTGGAGCGGTGCTTCTTTGTGTCATCCCGCAGGGAGCTGTTCAGCGCGTGAGGCCGAACAAAGCGCCTTTGTTGTTGTTGGGAGGCTATTTCCTGTGAGGAAACAACATGTAGTGAGCTTCTGTATGTTTATTCAAAGCAACTTCACAGGGTTTGCTTCCAAGTAATGAAGTAATTGTGTATCGGATACTGCTGTGGATTCGTGCTTATTCTGCGGAGTCTTTCGCCAAATCGGCCGTATTCCAACCTACGGATGCGGTATAGTCCCCTTTTAGTGTCATTCATTAAAGCTGACTGTCTCTCAGAAAGGCAGAAGTTCCACAGGTGTAGCCGTTTCCATCAACGTGCTTTAGCGGTGGAAAAAAACACCCGTCAATGGCTCTGTCCTCTTTTTTAAAAGTACAGAGTTCGTGCCTTTGAGTGGACGATTAAGTAATGCGTTAGTCGTTGTTTTGCACTGCCAACATCACATTTAGCAGTACCATCTATTCCTCTCCAGTAGTGATGGAGAGCTTCACTGGTTGAATTTGTGTTGGTCCCATAATTGTTTTAAGGGGAACCGGTATGCTTGGAGGAACAAGGATGTTGGGAATCTGATCAGATCCTTCTGACAGTCTGACCATCATATCCCCTGCTAGAAAGAAACTTCCAAAACAAGAGGCTTAGGGTACACCTCTATGCATCTTAGGACTTTCTTTTTCTGCCACAACATGCTTAAGTTTTTACTAGCAGAAGTATCTGGTCTAGAATACTTGGCATATGATGGCTTTATTTCTTCACAGACTCTAGAGAAAAGCAAAACTTTCAGTAGGGCTAGATTGTTAAAAGAAAAACATCAGAGTTAGTGTAGGAGTTCTCAACTTTTTTCATGAGCTATTTAACTTTTAAAAAGCAAAGGCAGTTGTACTGTTTAGCAACAACAACAAAAATCCAAAATCTATTTTGCTGCAAAATTTTTTCCCAAAACTGTACAAGGTTTTGGAATCATGCTAGATACTCTCTTTGACATACTAACATCCGTCATTTAGAGGGGCAGCCATATTAGTCTGTGGAAGCAAAAACAACAGTCTTGTGCCTCCTTAAATATTAACACATTTATTGTGGCATAATCTTCCACAGACAATGACCACTTGCTTAAATGCATTAGTGTCCGTGGAACTTTATGCCTTTAGCACTTTTTGTTAGTGCTACAGAACTCTTTGTTATGAGATTTTTATCCCATTCTAACCCTTGCCTTATATTACAGCAATTCACACAGTTCAGTCTCCAGAGACGCTTGAATAAGACTTACTTCCAAATAAATTTGCCCCCAACTGTATTTTATTAGATTTGAATTGTAAAGCTATTTTTTCTCCTGTGACTGGGCATCTGAAACTTATTCTTATATTTGTAAGATTTATATTTTCCCTTCTTCTATGCCTTACAATGTACCTCCATCCAGTTTTTAAATGGCTTACAAAAAGTTCAGATATTATTTCTCACCATGAAATCTAGACAGTGTTTTATCCACTAGCATTATTTTCTCCTTCCAGAGTCTGTTATGTGCTTAGGAAGGATGAAGCACTATTTGTTTTCCTCATTTGTTTTACAGCACAGTTGTACTCAGGAGGATGGTGATTTTGCACTCATGTCCTGCTTGTAGGTTTCCCATTGGCTTCTGGTTGGTCTTTATAGGAACTTCAGAATGTTTGATTACAAGCACCTGTGATGCAGTCAAGCATCGTTGCTCTCAAGTTCTTGGAAGTAAGCCCCATTTAGTTCATTGGCACTTACTCTCTGTTAAATGTGTATAGAACTGTAGTTAATGGAGCTTACATGTATAGGATTGTACATATATAGGTTTGTACTGTTAGTTCAAAGCACATTATAGCTGTTTGGTTTCTTCAGCAAGCAGTCAGTTAGAAATGTACTTTTAAATTAGCTCAGTCTTTTCCACTTTTACTACTAATCTCATTCCATGCCAAATTATGTTGTCAGTACAGTACTTTGTACATCCTTAATCCAGTGTAATATTAGTGAGAGAGAAGCTTAGTTTGATGTTCCTGAAATGTAACTAGGGCCAATTCCAAGGATGGAAAATTGTACAAGCAGACGAAAAAACAGTGGAGTTGGACTGATATAGTATTAAGATGCTAAAGGAAATCTTGCCTCGTGTCTCTTGCCTCTTTTCTAACATAATTCAATAGGAAGCTTGTTAGGCAAGAGGTAAGATTTTCTTTATGTCATTTTGTTTCATGGAATTTCTATACTGCCTTTCATTAAAAAAAGTCCAAAATTACATAACATGTACTACAACCAGTCATTAAAACAATGATAAAAACCATAAATCTCATTAAAATTATCAGGGGTAGGTGACAATGTTGTAAGGAAACTTCTGGGCAAAGGTATCATCAGTTGATGTGTGTTGAAAGCCTGTAATCAAAATGGGGTGCTCCTTCTACATGGTGGGTGCCACAATTTGGAAAGTCTCCTTCCCCAGCATGCCCAAATGAACCTCAGAAAACCTCTGCTGGAAGAGGAGAAGTGGGAAAACCTGCATTTATTTTCAGCTGAAATTTCTCAGTCTTTTTCATGATAGTGAAGCTGTACCCTGCCCAGTTGGAAAAACAAGAGGAGCAAAAGATGCCCAAGCAAATTCCCAGGAGGCACATATTGTGTTCCCTCAAGTTCCCCCTGTGCTCTTCCCTTAGCCTCTCAATAGAGAATTCTCAATGGAGTTGGAAAGTCCAGCTAGAAGCAAGATGGACCACCGCCTGGTGGACAAGATGTGCTTGCTCATTTGCTGTACCTGTTATGGAACAGCATTCAGTCCTTTATCAATACATCAGTCCAACTCCTGCACATGACTACTGCTTTACAATTTAAAACCAGCTTGCCTTACAAGGTTGTTATATGAGCTACTGATAATGTATGTGAACACTCAGGTAAAGTACTTTATGGTTGCTAAGTAGTACTTAAATAGTGATGAGCAGATGGCAAGAGCATTGTGAAGGCTCAGCATTCTTGTGGGAGGAGGACTCTCCATGTATGAAGAATGTAAATTACACTATTCATTCCAAAACTTAAAAAAAAAAAACAAGCTCAGTTTAAGAAACACCATGTTTATTTGTAATGCTGGGATATTGTTTAAACAGGCAAATGCAAAAAAAAAAAAAAAAAAAAAAAGTTGAGGTGCTTGAAATAGGAGGCATGTGACATGGCCGGTGGAGCAAAAGGAAGTTTCACAGCTCTATAGATATGTACTGTAAATCTAAAAACCTATGTACAGTTTTGAATGCTTAACATGAAAACTAGCAACTAAGATGAAAGACAAATTACTCATGTCAGGGAATGAAAGCATTACAAGAAAATGTCTTATGATGAACTTTAAGCACACTGTTGTTGGGGGTGGGGAATCCAGATAAGCTTCCAAGTTAAACTGTAGAAAAGGGCAGAGAAGAGGACAGCACTGACATTTATTTTAAAGAACTGTTCTGAAAAATGACCAAGAGTTTCCCCCTGTATCTGACTATAATCTCCTTAAGGAGATTTGCATGACTGATGGTAAAAAGAGATTCAGCTAAAAGACACTTTTGTGTCAAGTCAACAAGGTCCAATCTGTTACAAGGTCACAGTGACTCATCCCACCAAATACTTCTTAGTATACAGTTTCCCTCATCTTTAAATATCTACTGAGCCCTCTAATCATTGTGACGCATCCTTGATTCCAAAACAAACTGCACCAGACGGAGAGAATGGCAAGCAACTCTTGCTTGAGAATCCTGCCATGTCTATCACTGAAAATATGGCACTGACAACTGGGTAGGCTGCTGAACAGCTGACACTGCATTAGCATTGGCTTTCCTAATCCACGTCAGATCTGCTGGCTTTGTAAAGATGTGTCTTTTCTGGTTCCGTGACAATGCAGTTAGCTGTCATTTTGACGAAGGGCCACGGTCATTCTTGCATTTCAAAATGGACATTTATTTTTCCTTGTCTCTGAAATGGCACTGGTTTCCTCTGAGATTTTTTGCTTCAGTATCCAGAATTTTGCATGCCAGACCGTTTGATCCAAACATCAGGCATATCTGGCTTGCTATTTGGCAAAACGACTGGATCTGCCCCCGCCAATCCTCCTAACCGAGTTCTCCTCAAACCACTGTTCTGTTGTGATGCTGATGCAGATGGGTCAAAAACAGTTGCTCTTAGGTCCAGCCTCAAGGTGTCTCTCTTTCCATTCAGGAAACCTCTCTGACAACACGCATCCACTGCATCTAAATGATCTGGACAAGAGCTGGCTGATTCCACAAGTTTTATGCTTGGTTCAAAGTCACTGAGGGAGGTCTCACTGGAGACATTCTGAACACTGAAAGAGCTGCCAGTGGAATAAAGGCATCTGTGAAAATCATACAGTCCTGCTTCTGGTAGATTACTGTTTTCTGAGGTATAGTCTGATTTTTGTGGGTCAGTGTTGCTTGAGCAGTGAGATTTACTGAGTAGTCTGTCATCTATAGTGCTGGCTGACTGAAGATGTTCCCAGGCTTTTGGGCCATATTTCTGACACCTGCACTCTCTGCAAAGCCTGTCCCCTTGACTTCCTGTTTCTGTTCCTGAGTTACTTCCAGGTTTGTAAGGGGAAGATGTTTGCAAAGCCGGACATTGACAAAGAGCCACACGGTGTCCCCCAGCCTGCTCTAACTGCTGTCTATCCTTTTCAAAGGAAGGATGAATGTCCATTTGAGCACACCTGCTGTCTTGGAGCTGAATATCTTCAGATAAGACAGATGGACGATTGGATAGCTTGCTTGTGGAGGTGCTGTTGTCAAAGCTGTCACTAAGCTTCCGGGCCAAAGGCTGGAGCTCATACTGTTCATTTGCAGCATTAGGTTCCTGGCCTTTTTGTAATCTGCTCTGCTTCTCATTTCCCCCACAACTAAATGTTCTGCTGGAGGAACCAGGGCCATCTGAATAGTCCTTTGAGGCATGAGTACAAGGCCAAAGAATCTGTCCACAGTTCTTCTCTGGGCCAAAGAAGCAGCACAGAGATTGGAAGAAGAAGCTTGCAAAGCCACAGCTGACACACTTGATCATCATCATAAAAATGCCCAGCTTCCTGTATGCCAGCACAGTGGCTGGCAACATGATAACCCCTGCAGAAAACAAAGCAGAGGTCCCCATGATGGTGGCACAGCTCATCTGCTTCAGGGAAAAAGCTACACGGCTCAGGCGATCGGAATGTGGACACAAGTGGTAGGATATACAGTAGTTCACTGTGAAGTCGACAGAGAGACCCACTGCTGCTGAAATGAAGAGGGACTCCACAGCATTGAGCTGCCATTCCAGAAGGACCAAGAGCCCAACTGTCACCAGAACAGTGCCTGAAATAGCAATCATGGAGAACAGGCTAAGGAGAACATTCCAAGTCGTGAGCAACAGCACCACAAAGCAGATGGCTAGTGACAAACCCAACACTACCATACTTTCTGTATCAACGCTCTGCTGGAGATTATAGAGTTCCAGTTTACTGGTGAACCAGCCATTCTGGAGTCCCAAAGGGGCCGTCTTCATTTCCTCTTGTATCCAGAGGCCAATCTCATCGTAGAAATGTCTGGCCTTGCTGTAGTTGAAGCTATAGTGGTAAACTGTTTGAAACTGCAGTACCAGAGCCACTAGGTTGCCTTTGTCATCAAATCTGAGGCCTCGGTCAGGAGCTCCAGCCTCATCTCTGCTTTGTTCCATTACCATCATCTTGATGCAGTGAAGGAAAACTTCTCTACCGTAGGGGAAAGAGAAGTGATTGCAGCAGAGATTGAAGCTATGATCATGCTTGGAACACTGTCTGCTTTCCATCCACCGCTGAAATTCCTCCATGAAACAAACTGTGGATTTTTGTTCCAGATCAGAGTGGTAAAAAGTCTGATTCTTTACTTTTTGGCAAAAGTCAAACAGCCACCTTTGGGCTTTAGGATTTTCAATGGTAAAGGCAGTATCCCTCACCAGCGTGCCATTGCTCTTGGGATTAAAGTGATCACCATTGTCCACAGGCAGTATACCCCAAACAAGAGTGACAGGCAAGTGCAGGTCTTCTCCTCGTTCCAGTCTCTCAAACATGAACTCATTGCAATATTCCGCATCATATCTCTCAAAGGGATGGCTTAACCTAAACACCTGAACAGATGACATCTCTAGAGTGGGCAGTTTCAGTCTGGGGTTGAGACAGGAAATGTAGGCACCCCCTATAGCCAAGGCGGCAAACCAGCAGATCCAGATATAACGAAACTTGATAACCCCACAAGGAAGAACTTTCTCAAATAATAGCTTGGAGGTTTCACACCAGGTATTCTGGATACTCCTGAGGATGTGATGGAAGGAGAGAATGACTCTCTTGTGCCCAGTATTATTCCAATAATCTTCTGGTTTATAAATGCAGTTTCTTGCAAGGTAACGTTCATACAGCACAAAAGAGGAAGGAAGCCATGTCAACATGAATACCAGGTTCACCAAGACAGACGTGCCCATGTAGATGGCAAAGCAGCGGGTGGCAGTTATGTAACTCATGTAGCTGGCATAGAAAGCAGCACCAGTTGTCAGGCAGGATACCAGCATGAGATAACCAAAATGATGCATGGTTAGTCTTACCCACTGCAGTAGCCCAGCAGAAGGATTCTGGCTCTTGCTAAGGTTCCAAAGGTCAAAAAAGACAAAGGTATGGTTGGCGCAAATGCTGCTGAGAATGACCACTGCTGTTAGGTTCACAAAAGGGAAGTAGGAGAATCGGAAGGCCACCTTGTACAAGAAATAGGAAATCATCAAGGTACCAAAGACAATCATTAAAATGACAAAAGTAATAAAGATTGAGCGTAAATAAAAAAATATGCTTAGAAATATGGCCAGTAGTGCCATGGCTGGATACACAGTATCCAGCAAAAGGTAGTGCTGGAATAGTTTCTGCTTAAGGCCCAGATCCATCCCCGTGATGGATGTGTAATTATCAAACAAGTCCCACGACTCAAGGTTGCTCAGGTAGATGCCCAGCATGGATGCTCCCTTCAGGGTTGGCAAAAACAGCAGACTGTATTTCAGGGTTGGCACTTGGTATCCCACTGTCTGTGGGCTGAGAAAATCTCTGTCCACAAGAAAATGAAGGAGCTGGTAAACAGCATGGAACCGTGTGCATTTCTCTGGGACTTTGGAACATTGTGCATGTTTGTCTCTTTCAGTCTTGGGACCAATGCAAGGAGGAACAAGGACACCTTTGTGGTAGTCAGGAGCACAAGAGCGAAGGAGGGAAAGGGTGTGGGAAACGTCAGTTTGGGTAATCTCTAAACAGGATGACCGGTTGTACAGGATAGCAATGTAGTTCCCAAGTGACCAACTTGGGCAGCATTCATTGGCTTCGTTACGTTGACAGAGATTCCTGAACTGTGGATGAGAGCGGATCTGGAAAATAGGTAAGAGAAAACCAATGAATTAGGCTAGATCAAGTCGCTCTGCCTTTTCTATTTTATTCTTTCTCTTTTTTGACAAAAAACTTGTTCTCTGTGCACATGCAGCTCTAGGTTATTCTATTTCTCTGGAAGAGGGTGGTATTGTAATCTTGCGGTTGGCAAGGGGCAACCCATGAACACAGTCCAGCTGGCAGAAAGCTGGGTGGAGATTGTGTGGTTGTAAGAAAACATGCATGTTATTTCCCATCCCCATTTTTCAGATGAAGAGGAGCAGGGCTGAGGAAAGCAGAGAAAATGGCCAGCACTGACCTGATCACTGACCAGTCCAGCTGCCAAGTACTGTCCAGTGTGGTGTAGGGGTTAGAGTGTTGGGCTGAGGCTCAGGACACCCAGGTTCTAGTCCCCATTTGACCATGAAACATACAGGGTGACACTGAGCCACAGGGTTGTTGTGAGTGTAACATGGAAAGAAGGAGGAATATAAAAGCAATACATGAATGATACTGCAATAATGTACTTTTTGTGTGCCTTTTCATAGAATAGTAGAGTTGGAAGAGGCCAAAAGGCCATAAGGTCCATCCAACTCCCTGCTATTGTAGGACACTAAGTTACACCATCCCATTCAGATGACTGTCCAGATGCTTTCTGAATGTCTAATAAGGGAAAGCCCTTGACTTCCCCAAGTAATGGGTCCCATTATAGTACTGCTCTGATAGTAAGGAAATTATTCCTGGAGTCTAGTATAAATCTGGTTTCTTTTAACTTAAATCCATTATTCTGAGTCCTGCACTTTGGAAGAGATGAGAACAAATCTTGTCATTCCTCTCTGTGACAGCCTTTCGGGTACTTGTAGAGTGCTATCATATCACCCCTCAGCCTTTTCTTCCTGAGGCTGAACATGCCCGGTTCTCTCAGTCTTTCCTCACAGGGCTTTGCCTCCAGTCCCTGAATCACCCTTGTTGTCCTCCTCTGTACCCTTTCTAGCTTTTCTCCATCTTTTTAAAACTTAGATGCCCAGAACTGGACACAGTACTCCAGACGAAGTCTGACTAGTGCTAACTATAGTGGAACTAGTACTTAATGTGTTTTGGAAGTGATGCTTCGGTTAATGCAGCACAAAATAATATTTGCCCTTTTTGTAGCCACAGCACATTGTAGATGAATATTCAGCATATTCTTCTACAACAGTCTTTGTCACTTGTAGTGCATTAGGTTTCTTTTTCCTAGGTGCAGAACTTGGCATTTGGTCCTACTGAATTTCATTCTGTTGTTAGATCACCTTGTATCTTCTTTCTATCTTCCAGGGTATTAGTTATCCTTCCCAGTTTTGTGTCAACTGCAAATTTGACCATCCTTCTCTGACTTCCTCATCCAAATTATTAATAGAAATGTTGAGGACCACTGGGCCCAGGAATGAGCCCTGTGATACCACACTTGTTACCTCTCCCCAGTTGGAGAAGGTGCCATTGATGAACACTCTTTGAGCCCAATTCTGTAATGATGACTCCATGCTTCCTTGAAACCTTGGCAATTTGCTTTTCAAAAGTTTCCTTGTCTTCTCTTTGAGTGGATGGCTAGTAATACACTCCAACCAGTGTTCCTTTTATTCCTTGCTCCATTTATATTAATCTAGATGCTCTTGATGGGGCTACTAAGCTCATCCTTCTGTAGTTCTGTGCAGAGAACATATAATGTGACTCCACCTCCCTTTCTGTTCCTTCTGGTTCCTCTTGAGCAGGCTATATCCTTCAATTGTTGAATTCCAGTCATAGGAGTCATCCCAAGTTTCAGTTAAATTTATCAGGTTGTCTTTACCCCCTGCATTAAGAGTTCAACTTCATGCTGGCAGTTTCCCATACTCCAGGCATTACTATGCGGACATCAAATATCACATGCTTTATACTCTATATGTCTTCCTACACTTTTTAGAGGACTATTACTGGGCACTCTTAGATCAGTTTCCTCTGCTGTGGTGCATAAGCCTTGTCTGTTGTTACGCAGGTGTGCTTCTTTCTCCCCTGCAGGATTCAGTTGAAAGCCCTCCTGACAATTTTTTTCATGCTGTGGCCAAATGCATTCTTTTCAGTCCTTGTAAGGTGCAGCCCACCCCTTGCCAACAGTCCGTCTTCCAGGAAGTGTACACTGTGGTCCCGGAATCCAAACCTCGCACAACAGCACCACCTTTCACTTGGAGTATTTTTCTTCCCCCGTCAATTCCTTTTCCAAAAACTGGAAGGATTGAAAAGGAAACTATCTGAGCCTCAACATTCTTGACTTTTCTCCCTAAAACGTAAAAGTTTGCAATGATTTTTTCAAAGCTTGCTTCGCAGTGTAATTTGTTCCCACACGCATAAGAAGGAAGAGATACATGTCAGTGGGCTGTGTGAGCCTTGGCAATCTTTCAGTTATATCACTGATCTGTCGTCCAGGGAGACAGCATAAAAAGCAAAGCAGATGTGTGTATGGATAGATGGGTTGGATCTTCCTCCCAGCAACACTGAGGTGCAACCTGAAACCATCTCTGTACCAGGTAAAACCTAGTTTGAGTTCCTTCAGCTTCTTCCCACATTCCCTCTCAAGCCAGAGACCAAATGCAGACTCCAGGACTTGAGTATCAGCTACCCCTCAACTATGCCTTGCGCTGTTTTGTCATATTCCTGATGAAGCATTCTGGAGAACTCAAAAGCTTGCAGAATATTTGGAAATTTTCTTTAGGGATGTGTTTCTGGGTTTTTGGTTTTATGTTGCAACTAACATGGCTGCCTTTGCATTTTCTAATTCTATAGTGCAACTATGAGACTTCCTGCCACTTTTTGGAAGGGATCTTGGGTGGCAGACAGTGTACCATCCTTCACTGGAAGTATTTAAGCTAAGGCTGGGGAGGCATCTGCCAGAGATGGCGTAGTTACAAGTTCCCTGGACTTAACATGGGGGGATGGATGTCTTAGGTCCCTTCCAATTCTGAAATTCTGTAATGTGCTCTCTTTATTACACTTCCCCTTTTAAGTTTCTTTTTTTGTTTTTTTGAGACAGCAGATAAAATTTTTTTGTCCTCTGTAGATACAGCAATGCAGTATTCTAGCACTTTTCTGTGCATGTATGTTTAACTAAACTGACCCATTCATTTTAATGGGTCTCCTCTACGTAGGATGAACATTGGCTCCAGTGTTACTCATGTTAATAATGATTGCTGTCTCCTTTAGAAGGGTCAACATGCATCCTTCCATCCAGGGAGATGTGTGTGTGTGCTATTTCCCTGCGGCACTACAAACCTTGTCTTGTTCCATTTGACACATGGACTGTATTGCTTGCAAGTTCCATAGGCTCCCAGCAGTTGCAGACATAAATACCAGCTGAGAATAATTCTCCCCTGAGGGCAAAACAAAGTGCAAGAAGTAAAAGTAGAGATCTCTGACAAACTGTTTGGAATGACTGTGAACAAGAAACAGCAGTGCTGTCCGCTACTCTCATTATCCATTTGCACAAGGTCTCTGCAGAAATATTGTGTTGAAGGATAAGCTGCTATTACTTTTAATTACTTAGGGCTTCTCTACAGGAGGCATCAAACACAATTTGATCCAAAACAGTAAAAAGCACAGAGATTGATGAAGTAGCTGTAATAACTTACAAGTAGTTCTCTAAAATGGCTGATACAAAGGAAAGGTCTTTTCCTGGTGCTGAAATGATAATATAGGTGTCAGGTGATGTTCTTTGGGGAGTTTACTCTGGTGCCACCACTGAGAAGGCCCTCCCATTTATGGTCCCATATCCCTAAGACATACCTCCTAGGTGCTTGTCCCTGTTTTGGCTACTCTTGCTAACTGCGCTTCCAGCATGCTGATACAGACTCTCACTTATTTGGCATGACATTGCCTAAAGAACTGCCATGAGAAGGGTTGGCTGAGCACACAATGAATGTCTTATGTAGAAAAGCCTTTCGCTATTGGCAGGAAGAGCGGTGGGGTGCAAACCTATTACCCCTGGAGGAGGTGCACTCTGAACTCAGAGGCTGGCGTACTCAGGGCCGCCTTAACAGCATGATGGGCCCCGGGCAAAGCAGTGCACTGGGGCCCCTACGACAACTACAACTACTGTTCAGTTTGCAAGTTTTCCAGTTTTCCAAGGATTAACATACACAGATTAGTATGGGGCCCACGGGCAAGTGCCCATCAGGCCCATGCGTTAAGACGGCCCTGGGAGTACTTGCAGCAGCAGAAGCCAGGTGCAGCCTCAAGGACTGCAGCTACACCTTGTGCCCTCCGGATGGCCACTTTTGCCTGCCTAGATGTGGGGAAGGAAGGAGGCTTGGGTGCCATTTGGCACTGGCATAACTCTGTGGACCCAACCTCCTCTCATCCCTGCCCCCTGGCATACCCCTTTTGCCCCTGCAGAGCCCAGCCACAGAAGAGGCAGCTGGCATGGCACTTTCTACCCTATGCAAGGAGGTGAGTTAGGAAATTGGCCTTTCGAGACTCAGTTCTGAGACAGAAGGAGCTCAGAGTGGGAACTCTGAGGAATCCCGTGGCATTCCAGGTAATGTTGGGAGGCCATAGCATGTACCCTAAGGCTAGGATGCGCTGATAGTTTGGGTCTTGCCACACTAGAGAGGAGGATGAGAGCCCATTGCCATCATGTAATCCTGTTGTGATGTCATTGATTCATGAAGTCTGTTCCACAGCTTCTTTCACATCCAGCTTAGCTTTGAAAGTTTGTTTGTGAACCTGCCTCTAATTAGCATGGTGTGACTGGCTGTGTAGATCAGTGCAATGTATGTCCTGCAAACATTTAGTCTGTCACCAGCTTGTAAATTTTTGTGCATCATGGCAAAAGTGTGATCCAGATGCTGGGGGCACAGCAAGCCATTAATACAACCAGTTCTTCCCCGCTAGTCAAAGTAATCGACTTGTTTAAGTTAATTCTTCTTAAGCTGCAGAATAGGAAGCATCTCCAGGCCTCCTACAGATCTCCCCTTAGCTACCCCCAAAATCTTGCTTTCCTGCTTTAAAAAAGGGGAGAAGACAATGCACCTATTCTTTACAGATTGTTTTACAATTATTTTACAGATTATTTATTGAAAATTGAAGGCTTCCAGGTGAATATATGGATCTACAACAAGCATTTTTGCTAGTTTTGAAGCCATCCCTTCCTGAGAAAGCTTTCTCAATTCCTCTCTTTACATTCTGAAGCCTCAGTGGGAAACCAGACTTACCAGGGGGGCCACAGAAGAATCCATCCTTTTCAAAGTCTGGCTCTACCATCCTCCGCCTTCTCGCTTCTCGATCTCCTTGAACAGATCTCTGCTCTTGGTTCATGCTTATGTCCCAATAGCTGACCAGAGAAATGACATTATCTTTTAGGGAATTTATTGAACTGAACTCTTTGTACAGTTCAAGTGGCTGGCTATCTTTATAGTACTGATACATAAGAAGGACCTCTGATCCCTGTCCTCTGTTACCCATCTCTCCATAACGTCTCTCTGCTGCTTGGATTCAAAGGGCCAAACTAGAGATTTCCTTAATACATAGACTGCAACTATGAGTCTTGTTTTTGTTTTATTATGGGTTTGAGGAGCAGCAGTCCTTACTGGGAATGCAATACATGGGGAGGCGAGGCTGATCTCTTCATGATTCCTGCTCACCGCTAGGAGTCTTAGAACAAAAGTTCCCATTTCTGCCAAAGAGAAATTCTTCCTCAGAATTCTAGCCTTGGTGGTGGGGAGATGACATGAGTGGGGGCTTCGGTGCCTCTCTCACCATGGAGAAAAGTATTGAGTCACCTTCCCAGCAAAGTTGTATACCCAGGAATGACAAGCAGCGTATGAAGCCAGAGACTCAGCTAGCCCTCAGAGGACTCCGCAAAAACAGGTCCTGCCAGACAAACCTTGTGGAATTCTATGACAAGGTTTCGAGATGGCTAGATGGAGGGGATGCAGTGGATGTGGTTTACCTGGATTTCAGCAAGGCCTTTGACAAAGTGCCCCATGACATCCTAGTTGAGAAACTGAGGAGTTTTGGGATAGACCAAAGCACTGTCCGGTGGATTAGGGCATGGTTGACTGACCGAAAGCAGAGGGTAACCATTAGTAGGGAATCATCAGGATGGCAGCCAGTGACAAGCGGGGTCCCCCAAGGCTCTGTCCTGGGGCTGATCCTGTTTAATCTTTTCATCAATGACATGGAAGAACAGTCTGCTGATCAAATTTGCAGAAAATACTAAAACTGGAGCAGTGGCCACAACTGAGGAGCAGGTACTCCAGATCCAAAAGGATCTGCACAGACTATGGAGGTGGGCAGGAGACAACAGGATGGCGTTCAATGTGGATAAGTGCAAGGTCTTGCACTTGGGGCATAGGAATAGGTGTCATAAGTACAGGTTAGGTGACAAGTGGCTGGAGAGCAGCACTTGTGAAAGGGACCTCGGGGTGCTGGTTGACTGCAGGCTAAACATGAGTCAGCAGTGTGATGTGGTCAGGAGGGCAAACACCACCCTTGGTTGCATAGACAGAAGTGTGGCTTCTAGATCAAGAGAGGTATTACTACCACTCTACATGACTCTGGTGCGCCTGCAACTGGAGTATTGTGCTCAGTTTTGGGCCCCTCATTACTGAAAGGATATAGCCAGGTTAGAGTCAGTGCAGCGTAGGGCCACAAGGTTGGTGGCCGGTTTGCAGGGGATGGGGTATGAGGCAAGACTGAGGGAACTGGGTCTCTTCAGCCTGGAGAAGAGAAGACTCAGAGGCGATATGTTGGTGACATACAGGTATGTGAGGGGGGTCACACGGAGGTGGGTAGACACCTGTTCTCCCCTGCAGAGGAAGGCAGGATGCGCTCCAACGGAGCAAAGCTCAGGGAACCAAGGTTCCATTTAGATGCCAGGAAGCACTTCCTGACAGTCAGGACCCCGAGGGTGTGGAATGGGCTTCCACGAGAGGTCGTTGAGGCCCCATCAGTGAGGGTGTTCAAAGATAGGCTGGACATGCACATAATGGGCATGTCGTGAGCAGAGCTGGCTGGAGCCGGGGGTCAGACTAGATGGCCCCAGAAGCCCCTTCTGACTCACTCTGTCTTTATGTTTCTATGACTCATTCCTCCAGGCATGAGCCAAGTGTTTTCACACAGAGGATCCCTGCTTTTATCTCCAAGGCCAGGCTCTTCCCCTGGAAGAATCCAAGGAGGCTCCATTGGCCATTTGGGAATCCTCTGTGGGCTGGAAGTTCCCCATCCTTGGTCTATTCCAAGTCATGCAACGCCAGTTCTGTGATTGCTAGCAAAAAATAAAATACTGATAATAAGTGTGTCTTTGGTCTATATTAGGGGTAAGCAAATGTTTGAGGGTACGGTAATTTGATATACTGTTTGAGCACAAAATGGCTGTCATGGGAAATGTGGCGAAGAACACATATGTGGCCAAAAATGACATGCAATGCAGAAGTGAGATGTGAACCTTTACACAGTAAACAGTTTTTTTGAAAACACAGTTATCAGCATCAACACAAATCTATTTCATCATAAAATGAGCTGAAGGTCTGTGCCTGTTTGTGGGAGGGCTTGGGCACCTTGGCAGGTACCTCAAAAGGTGATTGGGTGCATTTGCCTTCAGGCATCATGCTGCTTAGTGCCGATCCAGACTGGGGGTGAATCTGAGGTCCTCCTGTTGTTGAATTTCAACTCCCATCAGCCCCAGCCAGTATGCCCAGTGGTCATGGGATAATGGGGTTGCTGTTCAACAACATCTGGAGAGCCAGAGGTTCAAAAAACAACAAGGAGGATCAAAACTGTTTTTCAGCCTGGTGGAATGAATGTGTCCAAACATGGTACCCTCCTTATGTTTTAGACTACAGCTTCCCATATTCTTTATCCTAACCATGTTGCCTGAGGTTGCTGGAAGTTTGAAGAATCTGTACAGCCACAGGTTTTCCAAGCCTGTTCTAGATCAAAAATGTAGTCTATCCCATTTTTGGATAGCTGGATACTGCTGCATTATTGTCAAGAATGTGATTAAACTTCCTTCTGCCATTCTTGACATTGGATCATAAGCAATCATAAGCCAGGGCACCTGCTCCCCTCCACAAGAGTGTGTCATCAGCCAAGGGCACCTAAGACCTAAATAAACGGGTCTCAGTAGAGCCACCTACCCTCTGAAACTTTCTCCTGCATGTGGCTTCAGAGATGGAAGAGCATTAAACACTTCCGTAAAATGCCTGACTTGTAATCAGTCATGACACAGCCTTGCTTTACTGTTTTTGTTGTAATGTAAGACATGGAACCACCGATTGGTTCAAAATTGAGAAAGGAGTTCAGCAAGACTGTATACTGTCTCCCTGCCTATTTAACTTATATACAGAGCACATCATGAGAAAGGCGGGGCTGGATGAATCACCAGTTGGAATTAAGATTGCTGGGAGAAATATCAACAACCTCAGATATGCAGATGATACCACTCTAATGGCAGAAAGTGAAGAGGAACTAAAGAGCCTCTTGATGCAGGTGAAGGAGGAGAGCGCAAAAGTTGGCTTGAAACTCAACATTCAGAACACTAAGATCATGGCATCCGGTCCTCTCACTTCCTGGCAAATAGATGGGGAAGAAATGAAGGTAGTGACAGATTTTATTTTCCTGGGCTCCAAGATCACTGCAGATGGGGACTGCAGCCAAGAAATTAAAAGACGCTTGCTCCTAGGGAGGAAAGCTATGGCAAATCTAGACAGCATACAAAAAAGCAGAGACATCACCCTGCCAACAAAAATGCATATAGTCAAGGCTATGGTTTTCCCAGTTGCAATGTGTGGCTGTGCAAGTTGGACCATAAGGAAGGCTGAGCACCAAAGAACTGAGGCCTTTGAATTGTGGTGCTAGAGGTGACTCCTGTGAGTCCCTTGGACCGCAAGGCGATCAATCCGGTCAGTCCTAGAGGAGATCAACCCTGGTTGCTCTTTTTGAAGGCCAGATACTGAAGATGAAACTCAAATACTTTGGCCACCTAATGAGAAGGAAGGACTCACTGGAGAAGAGCCTAATGCTGGGAACAACAGATGGCAAAAGAAGAAGGGGACGGCAGAGGATGAGGTGGCTGGATGGAGTCACTGAAGCAGCTGGTGTGAGCTTGAGTGGACTGCGGGGGATGTGGAGGACAGGAAGGCCTGGAAGAATGTTGTCCATGGGATCGCGATGGGTCCAACACAATTTCGCAACTAACAACAACAACAAGGTATTTATTGCTTTATACTGGCTTCCTATTATATTGTACGTGTTCTTATATGAAGCACTTGGAAATCCTGGAATGTCAAATGATACAGAAGTAGCTTCAATAGCTAAATTTGCAATGAAACAATCCTATTGCAGGAGTCTGAGATATGTCAGCTATCCCTTACAAAATGAACAAAAATACCTGTTGTCAGTATATGGTGAAAGAGAAAGAGTCTTTTTGTAGCCAGTCTGGCTTTTCATCGTCTTCCAGACTGTGAGCTTTCTGCCAATATCAGTGTCTCGTGGCTCAAAACCCTAGCAGAAAGAAAACAACATTTTGAGGAATTAAAGCTGAGCTTTCAAAGAAGAACAAACCCTCCCTTCTCATCCCTATATGTTTATCATGGGATACAGATCAGAGAACGGGGTGGGATGGCCATGAGCCAAATGCCCTTGCTTTTGGTGCAGGTTTGCTCACATGGTGGCTTTCCCATTGAGAAGACGTGCTTTGAGTGAAGCATCTCTGGCTGTGCAGTGCTCCATTAGCCAGTAGCCCCACATAGAGATACCATAGTGGAGAAACCTGGCATGCAGAAAAGTAGGGTCTTGGGTGATTGACCAGGAACAAAATAATGTTGGGATGTGGCCCTGTTGCATGATATAATTTGTGAAGCAGATGGACAAATTTGTAATGCCCCCAATTTAGTAGCTTCTCCCTGAAATTTAAGTTCAAGATCCCAAGCTAGTGAAAGTGGCTACCTAGAATTCATCCTGAGCACTCAAATATCTATGCCTCATTTTAACAAGGATTTTTGATGGCTCTTCAGAGGCTTCTGGAATTTCAATTTGTTCCTTTCATTTCAGTGCATTTCCAGAGCATTATGCTGAATATGTATAGTTTATTTTTCCCTTAATTTACGTCTTTATTAACCAAATATAATTTAAATAATTTTGGAAATCTATTTTTTATTTTTGATGTTCTCTTAATATTTGTCAAGCTTTTTTTGGCTAGTCTGAAGGAGGAGAAGCTGCAGTAGGGGTCTAAAATATTTTCCAAAGTCAGAGCATGACAGTATTGATTTAGGGCAAATCCTATACATGTTTGGATAGGAAAACATTCATACAACTACCAACAGGTGGTTTTTTTCCTGCTGCAGTATATACATAATTGTCCCTTTTGAGATCTTAAAAATACAATGCAATGAAAGGGTTGGCTTTTACCAGTATGCAAAGATTAACCCTGTCATGAGCTATCTACCAAATGGGAAGATGATAAAAACCCTTTACAATCAAGAATGCCATTTGCCCCAATCCACCTGATCTACACCCACTTACCATCAAGGGCTCAGAAAAATCGGGCAGATTTCCCACTAACAGGCCCACCAGCGTGCAGACCAACACTGTTAGCGAACAGAGCACTGAGACAGAAACGGGCCATTCCGCAATCACTTGCGACAAACTGGAAAGAAGCAAGAGAAAGAACAAGCCACAGCTATTTCATTCCTTTCCCCTTTTCTTCGGAATTCATTCTGGATTTTGTTCGCAGACATACTAGGCAAAATCAAGGTGGGGTATAAGGTTCGGGTTTCTTTTGATGCTGCCAGTGTTTTAAAAACCCAGACTGCTGAAGCGGGGGCTAATGCTTATACACATGAAAGTGTGGTGCCTTCCAATGTGGTAGGCTACAACTCCCATCATCTCCAGCCATGCGAGTGCCACAGTGGCTAGGGGATGATGGGAGTTGTAACCAAACAGATTTGGAGGATGCTAGTTTTGCCAAGGCTCTACTGGATTGTCAAAGAAAACATACCTAAAGAACTAGGGACACAACAAAACTGCTAGGAGATGAGGCTTTGTTCTCTCAGCTTGAACAAAGTGGAGGGCAGGATCGTAATGGGACCAGTAGTGCCCTTTGACCCGTTATGTGGCTCCCCCACCCATTCCCATGGCTCCCTGTGAAGTACCCATTGTGTTGGAAGTAGGAATGAGCTGGACGTGCAGTGTGTGATGCTGGGAACAGTGGGTCTGTGCGAGCTCATCCCTTCCCTTCTCTGAACTGGACCATCAGAATCATTTTTCACCAGCAAATCTAATACCAACTCTGGAGGGGCTTCCTATTGGGAAGATGTCACAGGAGAAGAAAATTAGCCTCCCCTTCCCCAGTGCCACTGCTCGAACTAAAATGAAAGGGCAGTGCCCCATACATATCCTGCAGCATTCACTGCCATGAAAAGTGAGTTTGATTATGTTTCTGCTGGGTCTGATCTGACCTTATTTTGACCTTTGCACACACCATTCTTGGCATGAGAAAGAGAATTCCCCCAATTTCTGCTGTGAAAAACAGTTGCCTGAAACTTTGAAGTACAGGGTGGTCCTAATAAAAAAAAAAACTCTGTTGAAAGATAATGGCTAACTCTGCCATAAAGTTAACTGAGGAGGCTGCCTTGGGCAGCAGATTTTGGAAGTCCAGAAGGAGCAGCAAAATGTATTCAATCGGCCCTTCTACCTCGTTTGTCCATTTCCAATAAATAAGGAAATGTGCATAGAACGAAAATAACGTTCCAGGCTCCATCAGTGGAGTAGCAGAGCAAGGGTTCCCGGGGATGCGACGGCCCTACTCTTTCATTAGCAGGGACACCAGTGTTGTATGCTGTCCCCACTCAGAATCCCTGTTCCTGCTGAGTTTAGATGCAATGTTTACAATAGCTCATGGAAAAATATTTTCCCAGCAACCATATGTTGTTGCCTACTGTAATGCAAAGCATTCGGGGGTGGATTGGTGTGAAATGGGAACTTAAGGTCCATTCACCTTACAAAAGACCTGCTCAAGGTGGCAAACAAAGTTGCCAGCACTTGTTTGTTGATACAGATTGACAGAGCTATCTGAGTTTGGAGGTTCTGCTTGGGGGCATGGCTATTCGGAGGGTTATGATTAGTGCCCACACTTCAGCATTCAACACTGCATCCCATTAAATGTTATTCTAATCTCAGGAGGGCTTTATCCTATGCTTTTTCTGAAGTACTGACCACTTCTACATGTGAAGGGCTATACTATATAGCATGCATTTATCCTCTGCAAGTGTTGCTTGGTCCTTAGTGCAGCCTCTTCACCTTTCACTGAATTTTTCCTTTAACATGCTGCTTATATTATTCTGCACCTGACAGACAAGCTGCTTGGTAGCAGATTTCTTACTGAGGAAAATAAACATTGTCATCATTTGGCAGAGGAAGAAGCCGAAGCATGCAGAAGTCAAGGCATGTGATCAGTCTCACACAGTGAGTCAGGATGCTTCACCCAGCATGATCAGCAGAATGGAATGTTATTTTTTCTCTAAGACAGATAATGGTCTCCTGGAAATGGGAGGCTGTCAGCAGGGGCTATGTATCTATTCCAGATTTCACTCTGAACTTTAAAGGAGCTATTGACAGTGCCAAATTTCTGCTGCAGATAGGGTTCAACACCATGGATAGCCCCTTTAAAGCTCAGAATAAAATCAAGAGTGGATACACAGCCCCACTGACGTTGGAGCTGCCACAGGATCAGAATGGGATGCATCGCGTATTACGGTAAAGAGATGTAGATGTTAAAAGTTTTAAGCATACATTGTTATGTGCTGTCAAGTTGTCTCTAACTTACGGCGATCCTCCAAAATATCCTATCTAATACAGCCCTGCTCAGCTCTTCTTTAAGCATATACAGGCATACCTCAGAGATATTGCGGGTTTGTTTCCAGGCCACCACAATAAAGCAAATATCACAATAAAGGGAATCGCATGAAGGTTTTGGTTTTCCAGGGCATATAAAAGTTATGTTTACACTACACTGGAGTCTATTAAGTGTGCAATAGCATTGTGTCTAAAAAACAATGTACACTTCTTAATTTAAAATATTGTATTGCTAAAAAAAGCTAACCATCATCTGAGCCTTCAGCAAGTTGCTAGTGGAGGGTCTTGCCTCAGAGTTGATGGCTGCTGACTGATCAGCAGAATTACCAAAATGTGACACAGGGACATGAAGTAGGCAAATTCTGTTGGAAAAATGGCACTGATAGACTTGCTTGATGCAGGGTAGCGCACAAACCTTCAATTTGTAAAAAATGCAGTATCTGTAAAGCACAATAAAGCAAAGTGCCATAAAATGAGGTATACCTGTTCCAAGCATAAAAGTAACCAAAGGTATGAAACCATTGTTAAAGGAAATTGTAGGTTATCATTTGTTTTTTAAAAATAGCAGATACCTAGGGCTAAAGCAAACAATATTATCAAAGAAATATGTGCATTTGTCAATGAAATACTATGTAAATCCATGTAATATGGCTAGATGGTCCAAACAAAGAAATAATGTTGACTGACTACCAATGATGCTATGTATCTATATTGGTTTTTGTGATTTCTTATAAGCAGACTCCATTTTGCTTTTAATTTTAGTTGATATTTGTATTTGTATTTGTAGTTTAATCTTAATGCATTTGGGGTTTTTGTGGGAGGAAGTGTGCCATGTAGCATACAGTTTCTCATGTGAGGCAGATTCACGTTTTTCCCCCATGTAAAACCCTGTGCGGAACTACAGTGGCTTCAAATTACTGATTGTGAGAAATATGTGTAATGGGGACAATTAAATCACACGTTCTGGTGTACTTAAAGGCATAAGCTAAATTTAACATGCAAAACAGCACAGCTTGCTAAACATGCATATTATGTACAGTCAAACTGCATACCAGTTGAAGTCTTTTCTTCTCTACATTTGATAGGATCACACCTATAAAGCTACAATTGTAAACACATTTACTTCTAAGTAAATATGCATAGTGTACCACTGGGTAGTATCTACTGTTAGCACACCTACTGAAATGAAATGATCTGAAATTCTCATTCATTTGAATGGGCTTACTCTGTGTAGGGCTCATATTGGCTGCTACCCCACAGCTCAGATCCAAAGAGCAGCTGCTGAGCAAGCCAAAGCTACTGTCTGGGAAATGCTGTGTGCAAGAGGAGCTTCTTCCCAAAGCAGGCGCATCTTTTGCAAAGTGTGGCAGCCGCAGCAGTGGGTGGGAGGGGATGCAAACAGATGGGAAGCTTGTAATGAAGAACTGAGAAACCAGTCATGGAGCTGCAGCTCTTTGCCTGCCTGGGATGTCAGCAAGAATAATGCATTGTCTCACTCCTAATAGCAGGTCCTGAGAAGAAGAAAAACGATAATCGGGTAGAAGGGCAGGAAGTGATTGAGCTTGACCTACCTCTTTGGCATCCTGAACACTTTGTCATGTCTGTGGGGAGAAAGACATTCATTGGCTTATTAATTTCATGCCAAGCAAAGTTCTCTGTTAATGAGACTATTAACCCTTCCGGGCAGGCAAAGCACAAAAGCGAAGCTCTGTCATGCAGCTCCAGCCAGTGAGGCCCACAGAGCCCGGTAAGGCGGGCAGCCAGCTGGTCGCAGCTTTAGCTACCCTTTTTGCCTTCTGAGGTTCAAGGCAAATGATTCACTTCATCTCACTGCAGCTAAACGTGTAACGTGGAGATGGGAGGATCTCCCCTTGAGGGAATGATTTTGGTTTTTACTCTACTAAGCAGAAGCCGGAGCAAGAAACACAGACTTAGGCTGCGGTTCTATATACCCTTCCCCCACTGAACTCACTGGGTTTATTTCTAAGTAGATGTGCACAAGAAGGCACTCTTAGAATTAACTAATTTTGAGCCCAGGGGCATGCTTTGAGTACCAATACTAAATTGAGTTCCTTTTCAACAACAACTATCTATCCTGGTTGCCCCAAGCTGTCTCCATTTTAACACAGATTAGCCATTCTCCACAATGTGAAGCCATTCTTTAGTCTTCACATTCTCCACAATGTGAAGAAGGAAGACTAAAAAGAACACATGGCTGCACAAACACCACGGGTGTTAAGTTATAAGTATAATGCAAATGTATAATGTTTTAAACAGAACTACAATACATCTCACCATAGCAGAGAAGACTATAACCTTAACTTGAGTGTCTCTGCAGACTGTTGTCAGCTGTTAACTGCTGAGGGGCAACTTCAAGGCCCCTGTACTAACTCTCTTCTTAGGGTTCTTTATTTTTAAATTGGCCTAGACAGCCCTTCAAACAGAGGGCTCTGTAGTGCAGAACACCACATCATCCTATGGGGTATAATTCAGGGCCAGAAAGAAGTCATTTTTTAATGGAGCCAGTGCTGCTGTAGATCACCCAGAGAGCTCCTAGAGATCCAGATCTATCCCCCAACTTAGTGGTTTTCTAAAGGAAAAACATATTTCTCTCTCTCTGTTAAACGTAATGCCTGCAGTCATAAGGTTCTTGTACACTTATGCTGCCAAGTGAGACCTCTCACTGTAGTGAGAAGCAAGCATGAAGGAGAAGGTCAAGGAACCAGCAAGCCAGTTGACTGCCATGGAAGATATAATATGACCTTTAAAGCTGCAGTGAGAATGAAGTTCAGTGCTGATTCTGAACACAGCATTTCAGCATGTGAATGGATTTCACATGATCAGATTTTCATTTTGAGAGTCAAATATGAGCATTCTTTTCAAAAGCATTGTTTTAAAAAACAAAACAAAACCAGGTTGGTGCCCTCCACGTATGCTGGATCAGAACACCCAACATCCACACTGGCTGGGGATGATGGGGGTTGTAGTCCAACACATTTGGGAATTAAAGCAGTTGAGGAAGGCTGGTGTAGGGCATAACAACTCAATGCCCACCAGGTGGCAGTGTGTTTCAAAACCCTTGCAGAAATGGGGTCCCTTGCAGAGCAGACAGCTAGATGGGGGCAGCAACCAAAGGCCAGCGAGTTTTGCATGCAAAGCAGAGTGCGCAAGAGGGAGAGCAAAGCATGTACTGAAAGGACTAGATCGTCTCCTTAGACTGTCCTCTTGACTCTTGCTATTGAATTTGAAAGGAATAATACTAAGTCTGGTTCTTTCAAAATAGATAAACATCAGCCTCCCAGATTCAATACTTGTATACATATTTTTTATAAGTTTTATTCAACATAACCCTAAAACAAAGAAAAACTAAAAACAACATCAATCATCAGAACAGTGCACACAACACTCATTTCCAATCCAAAGCTGAGCATGCTGAAAATAAAACCCCAATGAACTACCAGTTAGAATTTTGGCAAGCAAATTTGCATTAGGGGACTATCTTAAGAATCACTCCGACACACCCAGATAACCAACACACCAACATGGTTTCCATTTCTCCCTAAGACAATATCCTGCTATTCACACAACTGAAAAAAGTTCTGTGAGGTCTACATTCTACACAACTTCTGAAAGCCCTGGCTGAACTTTTGGAGTTTGTTTTTGCCTCCATGAAAATTTAATCATTAAACCAATATGCAGAGGGATTTTTTTGCAGGAAAAACACATGAAGGACAAAACTGCAAAAGCAGCTCTCAAGAGACAGATGCATAGATTTATGATACAGATATGAGATTTTCATGGAGATTTAGAGGTAGGTATTAGATTTAGAGTCCCAAGGGTGTATTAATGTCTTAGAAATAATACAGTAAACATCCCTTAGACTGGTCTGAAGCCAGAATGAATTTATTAAGTTTCAGCTAGTAAAATAGCTTTAGAATAAAAAAAAGGTACTGTTGTCCTTATTGACGTGTCTGTGAGAAATGAATGAAGGAGGGAAAGTATTACAATAAATTAGGCTGAGTCAAGTCCATCCCTAAATCTACCTTATATCAGGGATGCCAGACCTTAGATCAAGGACCCAATCTGGCCTTTTAGGGTTCCCCAGATGGCCATGTCCACTGCCCCCAGTTCCAGCCCCTGTGGTTTGGTGGTTTCCCACCTTTTGTGCAGTTTTTCCTTTCCTTCCATTCCAAAAACTTGGCATGTTTCTTCTAAGGCTCAGTCATGGGCAGTAAGAGCATTCAGCTAAAATACCCTGGTGCACTTGGCACCTGCCCGTTTTCCTTTCGGCCTCACCTGGCACTGATACGTGCCTTGCAAGAACTTCTTCAAAATGGAGTTTGGTGCTGGGGCTGAAAGACGTCCCACATCCTTGCTGCACATAGCTAAGCATGTAAGTTTGCCACTGGATGTCCACCCGATAGGAAGCCATAACCAGTCATCCTTCTCCATGGAACATGAAGCATGTTCGCTGCATTCACCCTTTTAAGTATTCATAGACATTTAACGTGTCCTTAGAACTAAGGAGGTTGCCTTATACCTTGTCAAATGGCCCATCTAGCCCAGAACTGTCTACTTGCCCTGGGGCAGAATCTCTGCTTGTAGTTGGAAATGCTGAAGGGCTGAACCTGGCATGTTTTGCAGGATATATGTTAAAAAATGTAATACATGAAGAGGTCCTCTGAGAAGGGCATACAGAGTGCCCTTGAGGTACCACCAAAGGAGAAATGTGTCACCAAAGAACAGAACAAAAGAGGACACAGGTTTGTAGAAGATGTGTATGTGTGAGTGTATCCATATGCAGTGCTTTTTTTGTCATAGAACGCACTGGAACGGAGTTCCGGCACCTTTTTTCAACAGATTTTCCAAGTTTTAAAAGTAACTTTTGAAAATTTGATGTTAGGTCCACGTGGATTTGAATCGCCCTGTTGAGCGTAGCAGGTTGGTGGCAAAATAATTAAAACGGTGCATGCGGGCTGCTTGTGTGTCGAATCCGATGCATGCGTGCTTCATCCGCGCTGGTTGTGATGGCACTGCTCAGCTAGTGATTGGTTGTGTGGTTGCGCACTGAGTGCTTACTGAGGGTGGTGACCGTTACGTTTTGTTACACAACTGACGTGTGTGGGTGTGTGTACAGTGATTGACTACATTCGAAAGGTAAATATTTCATAAGTTCCGGCACCTTTTTTCTTACAAAAAAAGCACTGTCCATATGTGTGCAAATTTAAGAACATTGATTGTAATTTAGTCTGTGGTGCAACACATCTCCCTCCAGCAGGGAAGCCTGAGGCCCAGAAACGGTGCCCTTCTCTGCTCTCTATGAGATGCTAACTGCTGATGGGCAACTTCAAGGACTCTGGTTTTCCTTTCTAATGGTGTTTTTTAGCATCTCTGCATGAGACTTTTAACCTGTCACTTTTGCAGGATTAAGGTAGCCATCTTTACATGTGCTTTTTCTCAAGGTTTTCTTTCTTTGCCTTTTTCTATGAGCCCTTACACAAACACAAGGTGGCACTTTGGCATAGCAGAATTACAAAACACAACAGTTTCTCAGAGCATGATTTCCAGATAGTATCAGTCGAAAAAAAGCTGCAGAACTACTTGCTAATATGGGAGAGGCTCTGCAAAATGACAATGTCATATAAAGTACCGTGAGTGAAGAATCTTAAGTTCACAATAATTGCCTTAGGTAGAGAAGTCCTTGAGACTTGGAACTGACAGTCCTTTAAAAAGGAGCTCCCTTCAGACACAGAAAGACCCATGTATTTTCTGGCTACATTTGTTGTTTTAAAAAATCATTAGCTGCTGCCATTGCACTCCCTCCCCCTCCCCCTCCCTCTCTCTCTCTCTGTACACTTGCATGCATGTTTGATTGTAAATGTATGTTCATGTTTTCATGAAATTGTAAGTTTTTTAGTGATGGCAGTGCAACTTCAAGGATGGGTTAAAAGTATATTCCAATAATCATATTATAGAGGAGTACCATTTGTAAAGTAGGACACATGGCCACCATGTGCAGGGATGAGTGACATGGAGCTGATGGGCTGCAGGTGGCCCCCCCAACCTTTATGCACCCCCATTCCTCCACTTGTGGCTGTGGCAGGGGGCCTGCGCTGCTGGGAAAGTTATGGGGCACCATGCATCCTCCCAGCCATGGGGGATTTCCTGCTGCTGCTGCAGGGGCCCATCAGCCCACCCAGAAGACCCCGAGATGCCCCCTCTTTGACCCTTGGCGGAGACCAAGCACCGCCTCTGCTGCTGCAGAGATTTGTTCTTACCTGACCGTGACGATGTGATGTTGCACGGGCCGTAGTGGCTGCGGCTGCTGCTGCTGGTCATGTGACCACTGTTTCCATCGACTTTCAGCAGTCTCGTGGCGAGGAGTTGATAATGAGTCCCCACTGGAGTGATGGGAACACAAATTAGCTCTCTCCCCGTGTCCTGGCAGAGGGGGCAAGGCATAGCTGCTTTGCGTGTCTTGCTGGTTGCTGTGATAATAGAGGTGAGGCTGGAAGGAGTCCTGGGAGCCAGATGGCACCTGGCCATTGGACCGGGTAGAGATCGGCGCATGCCTATGGCTGGAGGAGGGCTGATGGTACCTCCCTAAGCTGGGAGAAGCCTCAATGGGGCAGTGGTGGACAGGGCATCTCCGTTCCCAGGAAACTCCACTGGGGCTAGGCTCAGTCTTCCTGATTTCTGGCACATTAAGACACATCTCACAAGGCTCTGAGTTGACCTTTTCCCTGCAAACAGAAATGCCCTTGTTTAATTTTGTTTCTGTCCTGCTTTTCTACATTTCATGTACATAAAAAGGCATACGTTATATAAGCTACCATAAAATAACAAACAGAAAGAAATAAACCATGATCGAAAAACAAACAATAAAATGCTATGGTTGAAATCTTATACATAGGAGACTTTATTCTGTGTCCCATTAACACAGTGGAAGTGCCAAGAGGTGTATAGGATTGCATGGTCAAAACAACAACAGCAAAACTAAACCACCATAAAGGTTTTAAAAACAGCCTGTCCAAACAGAGATATTTTTGCAGCCCACCTAAAGACAGGGAAAACGGGAACCCATCAAATTTCCCTGGAGGAGTATTACAGACTCTTTGTCTCTGGCAGTTTGCTGGCCTTGCAGGACTCTCCCAAATCCGAACATTCTCAGTTGGTATGACCAAAGTATAAGGTTGTGTCCTTTGCTACCCCATCTTTTAAACCCTTCTCTCAGGATTCTTGTATTCCTGCCAAGTTGGTCCAACATACCCTATTTTGCTGCCTGATGAACACAAGATGCTTGATCCCTCCTGCCGATTGTACATACAGTCACCAGCCAGGCAGAGCGCTGAATCTTGCTTCAGCCTTGGTAATGGTACCGCATCTTTCAAGGCAGGCCATGTCACACACACAGGGATGTCACTCTCTTCCAGCCACTTGCCACTACTCTTCTGCCTTCCCACCATCCCCATAGCAGCCCCTGTTGTCTGGGGTTCTGCCCCATCTCCTTCTGCTTAAACTTTTTTCACGAAAATATCATAGTTTCCATGTTCTTTATGCTACCCTTCATCACAGCATGGTCTATCTCTTAACAGACGCTCCAAACAGCCAGTAAGCTATGATTTCAAATCTTCATGTCAAATTGATATCGTCAAATTTCATAGTCCATGAACTTGCAAGGATGCAGCAAGCTAGATTTCTGAACTCTGAGAAATAAGGGACTTTCAATGTATTTAACTTTCACATATCTAAAAAGACCCAAACCCAAACCAAAATCATCTTTATACTTTCCTTTGCCTTGTCCACCCAAGGAGGAGAGCACTGCAAGGTTAGTGGATTTTTTTTGTCATTCTAATGCCAGCATCCTGATTCATATTATACATAAATGCTTCAGTGTAATGATAGGGAGTTTGCTAGTGTCTCATTTCTCACTAGCACAAGCCCTTTGACTTTATCTCATGCTGACCTTCAAATCCAATGGCAACTATACAATAGTTATGCATAATGCCATAACATGTACCAGAGTTCTGATTATTGTTCCAGCTTTTGGCCAATTGCAAACCTCCAGTTTTTAGGACAAAACGCTTGCAGGTCAGTTCCATTCTCAGCTGAGTGCAATTGTCTAGTCTCATTACAATCTGGCTCCTGTCTCTGCTTTGGGCTGGAGTGGCTCAGGTCAGCCTGATGGGTGACCTATGAGGGGAAAAGGACAAAGACTTTGTCTCTCTGTTAATTCTGGACCACTCTGCAGCTTTTGATACCATTGGCCATAGTATCCTTCTGAAAGGTCTGACAGAAATGGGGATTAGAGTTTTTGTAGTTCCCTTCCCATATGGCAGATCATTTCTAGAAAAACATACTGGGGGACTTCTTGATGCCATCACATTTATGCTATGGAGATCTGCAAGGCTCTGTCTCCCATATGTTTGAACTTGTAAATACTGGTGTAGATAATTCAGGAATTTGGAGTGCCATCAGAATGCTTCCCCTGCACCCATGTAATCTAATTCCAATGAGATAGAGAACTTCAGAACAGACACCTGATATCAGTCATGGATGGATGAGGGCTATTACAGATAAGAAGCAAATATTATTGCTAGGTGGTTTGTCAACTGGGAGTTGTTTTCAGCTTTTTCTCATCACGGTTGCATTTCCCCTTAAGATTCAAACGTTCAAAGCTTATGGTTGTTTCAAATCTGAGGCAGATTTTACTTTAGTTGCCTGGGTGGTATCTGTGGTCTACCTTCCCATTTAATGGAAATGTTGCTAACTGAGACTCAGTTGGCATGAAGCAACAGCAAATCATCTTGCCAGGTTGCATGGCACAAATATGCCACCGCTACTAGGAGTAAGCAACCTCTGATTGACCCAATCATGACATGCCAGCCTGAACTCTATGAGTAACTCAACCTCTAGTTAACCAATAGTTCTGAAGCCACAGTTTGCAACTATTATGCAACTACTATGCAAACAGCCTCTCTGTGTTAAAACAATAAACATGAACTGGTCCTCCCTAGTTCATGAAACGTTTTTGCTGTTGCTGTCAGTGATTAACAGGGAAGCCGATGAGATTTGTTTGCTGCAGTCTGTGCCTCCCCTTCTTTACGCAGCCTGTTAAGATGATTTTCTCAGGGATGGATCGTATGCCAATATCATTCCATCAAGATAAACTGTTATCTTCAGTATATCAGGATTCAGTCATATTTATGTTCATCTGTTGATTCACTAATGAAGATCCAGTGAAAACAAGCAACAAAGTGAGAGATTTGGGTGGGCAGTGAGGTTCTCAGTTATGGCACTGGAGCAGCAACGTTGAGTCAATAATGTGAGAAGAAACGTTCTCGCATTCACAGAAAAGTAGCCATCTGCAGCTTCAAAGTTGTGGTCCGATGCTCTTGCCTAACCCTGCTGGCTGCATTGAGAAAAGAATGAAATGAAGGAAAGATTCAGCTAAGCAGACAACCAAGAAGAAATGGTGGGCGTCTAATGCTCTAATTTGGCATCGCAGCTCCTTGATTGCCTCTTCTTATTTGCCTGCCTCGCCAATCACTCTCAGAAGCCAGTTCGGAGAAGAGGCCTGTTTTGACCAGAAGCCAGGAGTCATAATCTGATCAGTGGAAATGGGGCAGGAGGCCAAGGAAACAGATGTACAAATGCACACAACTAAAGAATGTTAAGCTCTAGCCTCCATTTTGTTCTTCCTGCAACATTGATCTCAAAGTAGATGCCAGCTATGGAGAGTGATGGCAGGTTGGCACCCGTGTGATCATGAATACACCCCATTCTTCCAATGTGCAAAATACTGAAGTAGCTCTGGGCAGAATAAAATATGATGATAGTATGATGGCAACAGGTCAGCAACCTCAGGGATGGGAATTCCACATGGTGGGTTTTGATTGTCCTCCTCATTTCCTTCAGTCTCCTAGGTCACTCTCCTCTTCCAGATGTTTTGGAGTCAAACTCAAGCATTTCTGAGCACTGGCAGTGCTGGCTTGGCAACAACTGGATGGGAGCTGAAGTCCAAAATATCTGGAGTGCACAGGATGAGGCAGTCTGGCCTAGGAGACTGATGGGAAAGAGGAACGGGCTCAACACAGAAATGCCCACAGTTAGGGAATGTCCATTCCAGAGAAACATGCTATCGCTTATAAAGCTGTCTGCTCCCATCTAAAACACACACACACACACACACACACACACACACACACGTAATTTCAACAGCCAAAGGAATATGAAAGAATTCTCTTGCCATTTTACATCATAATAATAAAAACTGCAAGGAAGAATGTACAAGTAAAGGAAGAATTGCCAAAATCTATAGGATATGAATGGAGTTAGGGGATCAGACAAAAAGTTTTAAATCAATTTGGGAAATGGATGTAGGTGAAATAAAAGACAAGACCTGGAAGAATATTTGGAAAAGAAGAGTATATAAGAATATGTCAGTTAGAGTTAAAGAGCATGGATACAAGGTTAAAGAGCATGGAGATGGTATTTAACGCCAGTTAAGTTAAATCAAATTGATGACAAATATTCTAATATATGTTGGAGATGTGGTAAAGAGATTGGAACTTATAAACATATGTGGTGGGATTGTGAAAATATACAAAAGATTTGGATTATGGTATTTAAGGAAATTGGAGAAATTTTAGGTATAGACTTAGAAATGTCACCAAGAATGGTGTTATTACTGTTGATAGAAAAACAAGATATAAATGAAACTAAGAAAGACTTGATTGTAAGTATGATAATGGCAGTTAGGCTAGTGATAGTTAAATATTGGAAACAGAATTGGGTTTTGCAAAGGCATGAATGGTATGATGAAGAAGGGAACATGGTAGTTGATGATAAACTGACGACAGAAATAAACATTAAAAGAGGGTTAATGAAAGCAAATAATTATAATGAAATTTGGGAAGATTTTGTAAAAGCAGTACTGATAGAAGGTAAAGGCTGTAAACCCAGTCAAGATTATATGAACTTCTGAAGGGGATATGGAAATAATTGAAGTATATTATATATTATTAATTGTTACAGTATGTGAATGGTGGTAGCATTTGTCTCCAGGGTGGTGGGGGCACTTTATTATTTACTTTTTTATTATTGTGTTTTTGTTATGTTGTATTATTATTGTTGTGATGTATTGTAATTATTTTTTGTCAAAAAATGGGGGGATTAAATAAAAAATAATAAGAAATAATAAAAGCTGCACAACTTGTCTGTGTTCGTTTAGCAACCCTCCCCCATCCAAAACTAGTTGTCCTGCAGTGAGATTCTTCAACAAATATTGATATTATCAATTTCCTTCACTTTTGAACTATAGTAAAAAATATCTATTATCTGAAACTTTGCACTGTTTGCCAAGTTTTTGTCTAGGTTTAATAGCTCCCTCAACCCCCAGCCCATAATAAAAGCTTTTTGAATAGGATTTTATCATGGCATTTAAGTAAGGGCATAGGACAAAATGACTGACTTCCCAAGTCAAAAGAGTACAATGCCTAAAACAAGCAGCTTAAAACATGAAGTGAAAAGGGGTGATTTCCTCCAAGTTAAAATGATATCATGCAGTGAATCCCAGGGGGAAGATCTTCTGCAGATACCAGAGATACCCCCAGCGAGACACTGTACTTTTAAACAGAATTTTGCAGATCACTTGACTCCAAGCAACTGAGAGAACCATTTTTTCACTCTTCCTTGTTATGTAAGTAGGCTACTAAAGCTGCAGGCCTATGGGGTGGGATCC